CGTGCGAGCAGGCGGGCGGCCGGACCGAGCGGCTAGAGCGCCCCACTCTCCTCCGAGTCCCCCTCACTCCGACACGAGGCTCAGCACTGCCATTTTACCCAGCGCTGTCGCGGCCGCCTGAAAAACCCGGAGTGGAGCGCGGAGTGGGCGCAGGCTGCGGAACGAACTCGCTCGCTTACCCTCACAAAGGAGGAGGGGAGCGAGCGGCGGCGGCGGCCCTCAGCCTCTCGCTCCGCAGCGCCGCCGCTGAGGGCTTCGGGGAAAACCCGGCCCGGAGCGCGCGGCTCCCCGGACCTCGCGCCTGCTCCATGCCGCCGCTCGGGGCCGACTTGGCCCCCTCCTGGCCGCCACGAGGGGAGCGGGCGTCCTGAACTTTACCCGCAGCGGCAGAATTGGCCTGAGCCCGAAACCGCGGCCGTCGCGGCCCGGGGCTGACCCCCTGGCACGGGGCCCGGTCCGGGCTGCTACTTAGCACCTCCGCTGCACTTTTCTCCTTCAAAGGCTTTTGCAGATCTACTCTAAAGACCCAGCTGAGCGAGCCCGGCTTGTTACCCGCTCTGGCCAGCCCAACAGGAGGACTGACCATTGTTCAGCTATGCGTTTTACCCCGGCCCTGCCCTCATTAGCTTGCCCTGACAAGGCCTGGGGGCATGAGGTCTGGATTATCCTCCTTTTACCGAAAGACAGAAGGGAGGGGACTACCCGGGTCACGGAAAGTCAGAGGGCAGAGGAGTGTGGCTATAAAAAGTGGAGTCACCAAAGCTGTATCCTGTCTGCTTAACCTGAAAAGGAAGGAGAAAAAAGAAAGGCGCTTAAGTTGTGAGCAGGCCCAACAATGGGCTCAGAGTGCCAGAAGGGGTTTGGAATCAAACTTGGTCATCTCACCACCCCACTTAAAATGGTGGCCACTGGCGCTGCTTTGGGGGCACAAGACAGTCCTCCAGCAGAACCGGGGCTCCATTATCACTTTCTAAGGGAACTCAGCTGGCAGTGGCCCTTAGCCCCTAGTTTGGAAAAGCAAGTACCTTGTAAGACTGTAAACAGCCCACAGAAGAGGCTCCAGAGACTAGCAGAACTAGAATGTTCAAAAACCACCGCGGAAGATGGATGCAGAAAATGGAAACCATGTTCTCCTTAGAGAAAAGGCACCACCTAACAGGTCAGGCAGAAGTCGGATGCTACTCAGATGTGTTGTCTATCCCAAGGTGTAAAGATTCTTTAGAGTTTACCATTACAGGCTAAGAGACCCTAAGGCCAGGCTTATCAGAAAAGATCAAGGCATACACTGAAACCTCAGTATTGTCCGGGATTGCCAGGCCTCAGCAAATCCCACCACCACAGCGGCCTTTTCCTCATAGGCTGACTTGGAATTTCCTAACATAACAGGCTAGGAAATTCCTAGGCTGAGGGGATTCCAACTTCTCACCAGGCCAAGCGCTGCCTTAGCAAAGACCCGGGCTAGTAGCTCGGACAAAGACATCTTTTCTCTCTGATTTTAAGTGGAAACTGCAAGGCCATCGACCATAATCTCAGAACTTCGGGATCCTGCAGGCCTCTGGAGTTCGGATCATGTTATGATGGATCACCATAAATTATTCCAAAAGCCCGAATTCATTTCTACCCCAAGAAAAGCCAAGAACATCCTGCATTACAAAGGCAGAACCTTACTGTAAATGTAGTGGTGCGATTCCCCCAAAGGCCGCTTTGCTTTCCCATCCCCCGCCCCCAAGCCAAGAACCAAACCAACCTCCCTAGATGATGGGACTGAATGGCATGGGCCAGTGCCCTCTTTTCACTCAGTCCTTGGGAGCAGCAACTCCACTGGTGCATTAGGTCCTAGAAACCAAATTATAGGCTGCCTCATAAATGGAGCTTTCTATTTAATCAACTGCCTCAGAGCTGCCAAACAGTCCTGAGTCCTGCACACAAATGAGGAATTTTTTACATGCAATTACCCTGCCAGTTTCCTCAGAGCTGGGGTGTAATGGGAAACCTGGAGCCCAAGTGAAAATCTGGAAGCCAGAATGGATTTGTCTTCAAAGAAAGCCCTCATGGCCTCCTTCCATGGCTGTGAAATATGGAAAGCGCCAAAAACCTCTTCCCTACACGTGGTCACGCTGTTTTGAAAACAGTCACCATTTTAACCTGGCAAAAAGCTACAGAGCAGAAAAACCTCTCCACCTGGGTCGGGAGGTAATGAGTTTCTCCTTCGCTACTTTCTTTTTTTAAGATCTCAATCCTCGGAGTCTCTTCCACTCGGATAGAGACCTCCACCACCCACCTAAGGTCTGCTGGGCCGAGGAACTTTCTTAGAAACTGGCTCATCCGCTTTTCCCAGGGGCCCTGGAAACGGGAAGGGGGAGGGGAGGAGCGGGCACGTGGCTGGCCCGAGCATCGAGACCCCGACTCGGGGCCGTGGGTCCTCCCCTCGGAGGGTCCTTTCCCCCACAGTCCCTGCCTTTTAACCCCACGCCAGGCAGCTCGGGAATCCCGGCGCAGACTGGAGAACTAGGACTAGGACAGCGCTCAGCTCCGAAGGCGCCGCTGCCACCAAGCAGCCTGATGGCAAATGCGGACTGAATCGTTGACATGGAAACCGGACTAAAGTCTCGCTCGCTCGCTCTCACAGGAGAGTTCGTATCACCCAGCCCGGCCGGCCGGCACTCTGCAAACGTGGCCTGGATTCCGGCCGCGCGGAACGGGCGGAGTTTCTGGCCGCTGGAACTCCAGCGGCTGCGACCGCCCAGGGAAGGGGGCTGGGCTGCCGGCCCCAACCGGCTGGAAATGGCAGAGGTTGTGTTCTCATCTCTGGCTGCACAGCGTGCATGGATTGGGCCTGAGAACGAGGGAGCAACCTATGAAAATCCCACAGTCAACTGGAAAATGTGGAAGCGGGGCTGGGGGCTTTCTGGGGAAACGTGCGCAGGGAGCAGTCCTCCCCGCGCAATTAACAATCTTCCCTAGTAAGGAGCAGTCCTCTCAGCGCAATGGACAGCCCTCCCGCGTAGGGGGCAGTCCTCCTGACGCAAAAAGTAGTCTTCCCCAGGTAGGGAGCTAGTCCTCCCGCGTAGGGGGCAGTCCTCCCGCCGCAAGGAGCAGTCCTCCCGGGGCAATGAACAATCCTCCCAGGTAGGGAGCGCGCCTCCCCGCCTGGACCGGTCATCCTCAAACACACGAAGGCCGGCCGCTCCGGGTCGCCTTCCCGGTTGCTCCGGGCTGGGGTGGGAGCCGCCGGCGGGGCGCAGGGGTCCGGGGGTCACGGGGAACCGACGGCCCGTTCCCGCGCACCCGCCGCGGCCGTACAGCTGCGCGCTCCGAGTGCTCACCGGAGCTGCGAGTTTGAGCAAAAGGGCAACTGTGTCAGTTGACGGAAGCCAGGAGCGGAGTTCAAAGCCCGGCGTGGATTTCCGTCTGGAGCCGCCTTGCCTCTTAAAGTTTGCAACTCGGAGCCAGCCCCGGCCGAGGCTTGGGATCTGTGTGAAAGTCTAGCACTGCCTTCTGAAGGGAGCCACAAAACTTTGGGTTGCATATTAAGCGAGGAAAGTGGATTGAAGCTAGAGTCGAGGCAATTCATTACGTTCCCGGCTCCCAGACAGGAGCGGTAAGATACGAACTGGATCGTCACCGAGGAAAGTGGAACGGAGCCCGAATGGCGCTCCTGCCTCTTCATGGTAGAATGGTGGCAGCCAAGGACCCAGGTCCCCAAAGGAGCAAGCAGCAGCGGGGCCTCCAGCTCGGTGGACGCTCGCACCGCTTTCCCAGACCCCCTTCCACTCATCTCAAAGCCGTCAACAATTTAGGGGATTGTACATTCCACAAAACTGATAAAGGACCCATTTTGAGAAGTGTTCATTTCCAAATGAGACTTTTTTTTTTTTCACAAGAAGTACAGCTATGAAAAACTAGCCCTAGGCATAAATCCCATACCTTCTCTTCTATCATAAAGTAAGAATTATTCTCACCACCACCTCTGCTCAAACTGAAATAAAAAATAAA